CTTCCCAGACTGCTAGGTATTACCCCATTTTTTCCTTTTTAATTCAAGAAACACATTAGAATACCAGTGAATGAGAGAGGGGTTATCCTAGGGATAAACTCCATCCTGTTCTAATTTATATAAGAGAAGCACGCATATAAATAAGTAAGGCATTTGCAAATGCTAGTGCATTAACTATTAGTAGTAACAAATCTCTTTCAAGACATTAGTGTCTTCACCCTGAGATTGAGGGCCTCAGTAAGGACACTTGGTGTCCTCGGCTTGGTGAGTTCAAATCTGAAACGTGGGCTGACCTGTTAGTACTTCCGTATTTCCTGGTAGCTTGCAAGCATCTGTCGCTGATTGTAAGGTGAGCTGAGTGAGAGGATCTGTGTGACAGTCTCCTGTCCATTTAAACAGACTTGGCTGCCCCCAGCAAATGGACTGAGAAGTAGGGAAAGCAGAACTGTGGACATTGGCTTGTCACCACTGAAGTGTTTTCAGACTGTCTCCTGTCTTCCTACATCAACTCATTGTTTTTGTCTTTATGTCCCTTTTTCTCCAACCCCGTTTTCTTTGTACCTTGGCTCTGGTATCCACCAGGTTCCCGGGCTCCAATGACCAGTGTAGATGTGTTCGTTGAATTCACTCTCTGGATCTGAGCAACCTTGGCTGAACTGTGCTGAAGCGCTCCTCCCCTCTCACTAGCCCTTGGCATGAGTCTGTCCCTTTTCCCGTATAGCCCCAGTGGCCACAGGTGGGGAGCACACACCTGTTCTTCCAGGGAAATGCATCATTGCCTCTGGGGGAAAACAAGTCAGGGACCATTAATTAGGATCATTATCATAATTATAATCCATCAAATGAATTTTCACTTATAATTCAATTCAAATTCAGATATGTGTTCCTTAAGGCTTTTTTATTCCTGTGTTAATTCATGAGAATATTTCTGGGGTGAGGTTTCTTTTCTTCCATTTAGCACATGAGAAAATCAAAGTCAAGGGAAGGTAAGCCACACAGCCACTAAGTTACGGGGACAGGATTAGACTTCTGACATGTGGTCTAAGTGATTTTCATAATGCTATAAATGTTACTGAAAAATCTCAGAATGGAAAGTGTCATAGACTAAGATTAATCAGTGGATTATTTGATGGGAGTGCTTAATGATGAATCTTTTAAGAAAACTGGACTTTATTTTTTTTAAAGAAAATGTGCAATAACTTTCACCATTATGACGTAATAATTGTCTTCAAGCATTAGAAAATTAAATTAGACTTAGTTAAGTTGGATAGAAGGGCAGTGGCAAGGAGCACTTGGCTGGCTCAGGCGGTAGAGCATGAGACTCTTGATCTGAGAGTCATGAGTTCAAGCCCCACGCTGGGTGTAGAGCCTACTTCAAAACACACATACACACACACACACACATAACTAAAAATTAGAAGGGCAGTGGCAAAAGTATCAGAATTATGGGGTATTTGGAAAGAAGTACAGTTGTAGTTCTTCATATATATACTTCAGTAAAGATAGCGAAGAACCAAACTACTCAAAAGTGTTTTTAATTTTCAAGTATTGACTGCCAGCCTACTGTGCATAAGGCATTTACCTTGACATGGGAGACCCGTGGGGTCCATATTTTGTGGAATATTATAACCGCGAGTATCCTTTGAGGGCTATTCTAATAAATTCTCTGTGAAACATTTTTGTATTTTACGTGGAGATGTTGTGGAGAACATGGTGGGCCACCCAATGCTGTGTTCCTTCCTAATGATGGAGAGATCTTTTGGATCTCAGTGTGTGAAAGAGCTTCTCAAAAACGGCAAGTCTCAGAACCTACTGGGTTTCCTTCTTTGAGTTTGTCTTGTAGGCCGTGTTTCTGTACACTAGCTCGGTCCCAGCTTTACCTTAGAAAATCGCTCAGTGTTTACCTTTGCTCTGCTTGCCTCCCCTATGTGTGTATATTCTGTTGTCCTATATACCCTGAAGTGATTCCAAAGTGACCTCTTGAAGAAAGATAACTTTCCAAACACCTACGGAGGAAGTTTTAACAAACGGGTGAGATTCGTTTCAGTTTAGTAATACTCATGGCTTCGAAACAATGTGTTATCAACAAAGGAGTGAGTAGAGAGAGAAGAGAGAAGAGGGTACAGGCTGTCCAGTCATCTTCTGCAGGCTGAAGGCCCCTCAGTGGTCCAGAGAAGCTCTACTGAGAAGGCTGGGATTTTGCTTCTGGAAGCCCCCCAAGTTTGACTTAGCACGGTTGCAGTCTGAGAAATTGTCAAGGCCACCCAAAACACTGGCTGGTTGATTGATTTCATGAGATTACTTAGTATAGCTAATGCTTTCATTGAGCTTTTTTTTTTTTTTTTCTGGATTGGAGGAATATGTGGGGATGAAGAAAGGGTTCTAGCAAGAGTTTTCTCTAGGGGCCAAAAGCAATGATTTTGATTCTCAATGTGTGGTCCAGCATCATCACCGTTACTGGGGAATGTGCTAGAAATGTAAGTCTTCAGGCCTCACCCAGAGCTACTGAATCAGAAACTCTGGGTGTGTGGCTTAGAAATCTGTATTTTAATAAGCCCTCCAGTTGCTTGTTCATGCTCAGGTTTGAGAGGTGCTGGGAGATAGAAGTTAAGAGAATGAACTCTGGACTCTGACTTCCTTTGCTAGAATCCTGGCACAACCACTTTTTCACTGTGTGACTCTGGGAAAATTGCTTGATCTCTCTGTGCTTTAGTTTTTCCATCTGTAAGTATCTGGAGAGAATTATGGTACCACCTTCAGAAAGTTGTTACAAGGATTACATTTGTGAATATACCTAGAGTAGGACCTGGCACATAAGAAAAGCTCAATAAATGTTATCCAGTATCCTCAGAAGACATTTTGTCATGGAAGGATGGGAGAATTTCTCTCTCTAGCCCCTCTTTCTGTAAGAACCCATGAAGCTCTCTCGTGCAGCTTTCTCTGCGGAGGAACCTAGAGGCTAGAGTTGCGGGGATAGCAAAGAACACCGGATACGTTCAAAGCCCTGTCTACACACATCATGACTGTAGCCCTAGCGATAACCCTGAATTATGAAAAACTCCATTTCCTTCTCAGCATTGGCAAGATCAGTTTCTGACCTGTGGGACAGAGAATTGATTCCTTGATTGTTTTTTGGGGGCGAAATCCTAAGTATCTGAGGGAGCACAAAGATATTGCAAAATTCACCCCAAAAATCTGAAAGTAAAATCACCTAAAATTAACTTTATTTTTTAAAGATTTTTATTTATTTGAGAGAGAGAGAGAGAGCACAAGTGGGGGGAGGGGCAGAGGGAGAGGGAGAAGCAGACTCCCCGCTGAGCAGGGAGCCTGATGCGGGGGCTGGATCCCAGGACCATGAGATCATGACCTGAGCCGAACGAAAGACACTTAACCGACTGAGCCACCCAGGCGCCCCCAAAATTAATTTTAAATATTTTAAAAGGAATTCTAGCTTTGCCAGATTTTCTAAAATTGTGTATTGGGTGGCGGTGGGCTGGACAGTGGGGAATCCAGAAAGAACCAAATGGCTATTTGATGTTATAACCTCTCTCCAAAGACTGAGGATCACTGTTGCAATGTTTAAACGGGTTATTTTCAAAAGTTGCTACAGACACACTCATCATGGCCTCAAGACCCACTTTGCAGCTGTGATAGGTGGCACTGTGATCCCCCTTCTCCTGAGGTTTGAAGCTTTGCCAAGATGAAGTACAGCTGGACTGAATTAAGTTCTTGTCAATAAGATGAAAAACACCAGATCAATTGGGGTTTTTCCTTTGGCAGCCCCCACAGCCACGCTGGCTCATCTGTATGGCGGATTCACTTAAATCATGTGAAAGTAGTTGCTGACATGACCAGAAAAAGTGGTTTGTTGGGGGAAAATGGTTGGAATTGTAAAGAGCTAGGATTAAATGCAGGTGCTCAGAGGTTCCACGCTCTGCTGAAGCAGCCGAAGGGCTCAGGCAGCCTCTCTGTCTCTTCCCAGTGGGGTCACAAAATAGGAGGAGAGGACACAGACCAAGCTCGGTCAAGGTCTTTGGTTGAAGGCGCACAGGTAGTCCACAACGTGCAAACGGGTGTCCTGGAGATTCTCGCACCTCTCTCTCTTTCTCCTGTTCCAGACCTGAGAACCTGTTGAAGCCAAAGGGAATGAATTCTAAAGTTCAGTCCCAGGTCCAAGAGCCAGAGTGAAGGCATAACCCGGTATTCTGGTCATGCATTCTACGAGGACCAATTGCTTTTCTTATCTCAGTACATTTTTCTCCTAGCCCATCCCTCCCACCTCACCATCTCTCCTCCTCGAACTTCCCAGTGAATGAGGCTGTTGCTTTGACAACAGCTGGGAAGGGGGGTGGGGGATGGTGAAGTGGAAGTCTGGAAGGTACCACGTCACTCTGTGGCAGAACCACGGATGAGACCCAGGAAGGAGCCAGAATGAGGACTGCAAACAGCAATGCAGGATGATTTACCCTGGGCTGGCGAGGCTCCTCTTACTCCTTGTCCTGCCCCTCTAGGACTCTGAAAATAATGGATTTATCTCATGGGACAGAGCTGGTGTGTTGCCAAGAGAAAAGCATACTGATAGCAGGTCGGAGCCTCGCGTTGTGGCAGAATTTATGATGGGGGTTTATCAGCCCGGGAGAGAGGCAGTGTGGGCAGGCCTGGGTGGTGTCTCTCCCCACAGGAATGTTCTGCTTGATCCTTTTGCTACATGAAAAATGAACTGTGGTGGGCTAGTGGGGAGACCTCAGAAAGCTTGGATGATCACACAGACTTAGATACAGAGGCTGGCTTCAGAGCCTAAGAAATACCCAGGCAACACCAGTTAAAGGGTGTGGACATAAATAATGGGCAACTCCCATAAAAAAGGTCAAACATCTGACTTCAAATAACATGTTTTTTCTTCCTGAGCCGAGTCGCCTAGAGTTGAATGAGGGTCAGAATTGCATCTACGTCTCATCTTAGCTCAGCTCTTAACTTCCAGATTTTTCTCCCCAGGGTGTATTAAAAACAGAGCTGCTTCACGTGAAGGTGATGGTTTCCATTTGGAACCCTGTCCCGGCTTTGCCTTTTCTCTGTCATCCTGAAGGGAGAAATATCTTCCATAGCTTCAAGGTCAGTGGTGAGCTCTTTGGGTTTGGCAGCGGAATGAGACCCCTTGGAAAGCTTGTCTCTTCACGCATACTTTGCTGATGTTAATAAGGTTCCTGCATTCTCAGCCTGGGGTCAAGGGTCACGGGTCAGGCAGCCATAAGCCTGGCCCAGGGAATTTTGTTCCGGTAGACCTACTTTCTCTTTCTCTCTTCCTCTTCTGCTACGGAAGGAAAAGATTTTTGAAAAAAAAAAACAAAACTGTTTGCTTTTGTGTTGTGTTTTGTGTTTGTGGCTCTTTAGGGCTAATCTTCTGGCCTGCAAAAGCAGCTGAGAATAAATGTGTCAACCGCAATAGCTTATCTGTCTGGCCCCCCACCCTGTTCCTTTACTTTTCAGACTCAGCAGCTGGAGTCCCCAACCCCCCAGGGACAGACCTAGCCTTAACCCCAAGCTTTGAGGTGATTTCATTCCTGGCTGAGGGATGTTAAGGAGACCAAGTTCAGGAGCAGGCTAAGTCGGAACCCAGTTTCCCTTGCTGCTGTCTGATCATGTTCTGGCCCGCATCTTCAGTTCCAAGCTGGGCCCTGGTCCTGATGAGCTGTTCTAGCCTTCCTCCTGCTTGTCTTCTGTAGCACTGGTCCTTCTGGCCATCACCTGTCCCTCCCTTGGTTTCCAGGCAAACAGTGTCTCCTGGTTCTCTCCCCACCTCTCTTATCTTCACGACCTCTTGGTAGGCTCTCCTCTGCTCCCCCCTGAAATGTTGACATTTCTTAGGGCTCTGTCATTTGTCATGTTCTCTTCTCTGGGTAATCTTATTTACACCTGTGACCTTAATCACTAAGTCTAGGCTACAGGCTCCCAACCATCGAGACTAAGCTCCGGACATGTTTCCAGGACTTTCTGGCCACATCTACTTGCAATGCCCCGTAGTAGCTGAAACTTAACACGTCCCAATCTGAACTCATCATCTTCCCCCTCAAGCAGAACTTGTTCTGGTCTTGTTTTTGGTGGATGGATTACCATCCACCCAGTCCCTCGAGTAAAAAAAAATCTCGGAGTCATCCTTGACTTTTCTCCCACATTCCCCATGTTCAAACAATCCCATGTTTTATGTTTTCACTTCAGACATTTTTCTCGAGTCCTGCCTCTCATTTCCATCTTCCACGTTCACTGCTATTCATTTGGCCCAAACCCTCATCCTCCTTCCCCTGTAAAAATATAACATCACAATTCTTGAACAAGCATCAGCTCAGCAGATATTAGTTGAAAGAGTGGGTAACCTCTCTAGACCCAGACAGACTATTGTGAGGGTTATAGGAGATGCTTTATGGAGAGCATCCTCAGCACCACGATTGGCTCATAGTGGGAGCTCAGTAAGCACGAGTTGTTATATATTATATATAGGAACTGTTTGAAAGCATGGAATTTGGGCCCCAGGCTGCCTGGTTCCAAACTCCAGTTCCATCATATACATTCCTTGTGTATGTGATGTGTTTCCATTTTTTTCATCTGTAAAAATGCAAATGATTATCATACAGCTGTTGAGGATTAAATGATTTAATTTATGTAAAGCTTTTTGAACCATGCCTAGCATATGGTGAGTGCCCAATATGTTCATTCTTACTGTTATTATTTTTATGAGTTTCCTGCTTCCTGGCTTTCATGGTCAACATGTTAGGCTTTATTCGAGGAAATGTGCATTATCTGAGTCCTCGTGTATGGCACCCTAAACTTACATTGAGGAAAAATCATCACCTCATTTTTACCACGTATTATCTCTCTCTGCTGTGAACTTGATAAATCCCAAATCACAGTCTTTTTGCAGTATTTTATAATAGTTCTTTAGGGTGACCAGCTGTCCTGATTTGCCTGGGGCTGAGGGGCTTTCCAAGATGGGGGACTTTTCGTGCTAAAATTAAGATAGTCCTGGGAAAACCAGGACCATTGGTCATCCTATCCTTTATCTTGAGTATCTTGAGCTCTTCTTCTGAAGCTCAGCTTCTACCCATAATTCCTCAGGTACATTTCAGAGGCAAACAACAACAACAACAACAACAACAACAAAAGGCCTAAGTCAAGGTGGTGGGCTTTCATAGCACATTGGTAACAATCTGGGAGCTCTCACATGCCATCTCCTGTTCTTTTCCATCAAAATGCCCATGTCCTTGGAATTTCTGGGACAGATGAAGGCCTGTTTCTTACTGGGAGAAGAACGGCTTCTGATTTCTGGCTCTGTCTTTAAACAGGACAGCTCCCTCCAGCCGAGTCTGCACTGAAGAGCAAACTGAAGTCTCCTTCCCCATCCCCCAGGGCTTCTCTCCAGATGGACTGCAGGGCCCAAAGGGTCCTGGTGGCACCTGACCAGCTCTGAGCATAGCCATTGTATGGAAGGCTATTTGCAGTGAAGTGGGTGGGGGTTCTACTCCCCACCAAATAATGAGCAGCTTTTCCCTGCTGCACTCCTGAGGTGTCTCCTCCCAGGTTTCTAAATTGCAGTCTATCTTCCCCTATTGGCACCAGACTTATCTTCATAGAGAAGAAGTCAACTCACATCATTTCCCAGCCGAGATTTATTGGTTCTGGAGGCCCACAGCATCCGTGCCAAATCCTTGGCTTGCTCTTTGGTTCCTTCACAGTCTGGCCTCCAGAGATCTCTCCAAACCCTTCTCCTGATACTCCTTGGCTGACTTCTCCTTTCCTAATCCAGAGGTCACCACCATTGCTCAAAGACCACCATGCCTTGTGGATTAGTCTGCTTAGGCTGCTGGAACAAAATACCGTAGACGGGGTGGCTTAAGCTACACTTATTTCTCATACTTCTGGAGGCCGGAAGTCCAAGGTCAAGGTGCTAGCCAGTTTGGTTTCTGGTGAGGGCTCTCTTCCTGACCCATGATGGCCACTTTCTCAAGCTATGTCCCCTCACATGGCAGAAAAAGCAAGCACTGGGGTCTCTTCCTTTCTTAAAGGGGCACTAATGCCATCATGAGGGTTCCAAATGCATCCAGACCTCATCTGGCCCTCATCATCTCTCCAAATACTATCACATGGAAGATGGGGCTCCTACACATGAATGTGGGTGGGGGGAGGGGAACCCAATTCAGTCCTTAACACCTTTTGATTAACTCAGACTTCTGTGCCTACTGTTTGCTCTGTCTTGCATACCCTTTCCCTTTGCCGGACCAATTCCCCTTCATTTCTCAAAACCCATATAAAAGCTTATGTCCTCTGTGAAGCCTTCCTTGGCTCCCCTCTGGGTCTGTAGCATTTTGTCCAGATCTCAGAGAAGTTGCCACTTTGTATGAGAATGTGTTTACATGTCCATCTCTCCTTGGAGTCTTTGAGTGTTTTGAGGGACTGGACTTGTGGAGTATCCTTCTCGGAAGACCCCATGTCTAGCACAGGTGTGGTCCAGTCATTGAATGAGAGGATAAAAGCAGCAAAAAGAGGCAGCCACGACAGCAGCTGTTAACCTCGACCGGGAGCACTTGCTGCGTCCTGAGGTGCGCTGCTAAATGCGTTAGGGGCCCCATCTCAGTCCTTGAAGGAAGGCAGAGGCCCTCTCCCCACTTCACGTGAAGGTGATTGTTCATTGGGCCAGTAGCTGGAGTTCATCTTTATTCCACTGAGGTAGAAAGAACTTCAGAGGTGCAGATGTATCATCGACAGAGTGTTTTTTAAAAGCTTTAAAATACTGTATACCTTTCTCAAGCCTATCTAACATATTGGAAGCCCTCATGTATTTTTTTAAAAGATTTTATTAATTTGAGAGAGCGAGAGAGCAAGAACAGGTTGGGGGGTGGGGCAAAGGAAGAGGGAGAGACAGGGAGAAGCAGACCCCCCGCTGAGCACAGACTCCAACGCGGAGCCTGGTCCCAGGACCCTGGGATCATGACCTGAGCCGAAGGCAGATGCTTCCCTGACTGAGCCCCCCAGGCGCCCCAGCCGTCATGTATTAAGAATTGATGTGCTAATCACAAGTTCAATGTAACTCCTAAGGCAACCTCCGAAAAACGATCATATGACATTTCCTTAACCCGTTGTCACTTTTGGTTTGTATCTGGAATTCATAAGACTGGTTTTCTTTTAAAATATCCTTAGTGAGGATGTTTCCTAGAGCCACACTGGCCTTGCCCTTGCTGGTGGGAATGAGGCTTCTGTGCCATTTGAGGCTGTGTCTCTCACTTGTTTTCCGGGCAATTTGCATGTTAGCTTTAGCTGGTGCCCCGGCTTTTTTGCCACACACCCGCTTTGGTGTATAATTTGAGATGCAAAAGTGCTCAGTGAAAAAAAAAAAAAAGAAGTCAATCCACAAACTAAGGCTCTGAGAATATTTCTGTTGCGGGGACGGGTTTGATTACAGCTGCGTTGTTCTAGGCACCTGTATAGGATAATAGAAATAAGTCTAATATCTTGACTGCCTTTTGTGTTTCAACATTCATGCTGCCTTAATCCTCACAATTGTCATCTCAAGGAAGTGGACTTTCTTCATTTTACAGAGGGAGAAACCGAGGATCAGAAAGTCGCCTAACTTGCTCAAAGTCTCCCCTGAGAGAACGAGGCCCTGGGAACCGGACCAAGGTTAGTCTGACATCAAACCTCACTCTCTTCATCAGCGAGCTGTACAGTCGGACAGTGCCAAGAGCAGGGTGTCTGCAGGTACCCAACATTCCAATCTGGGGTGTGACCTCACCAGCCTGTGTTCCCCAAATGGGACCCCGTGCCCATTGCTGGTCTCAAAAGCTCTAGGTTCCACATCCTGCGTTACCTGGGTGGCCTGTGCTGGAAGTAATACTTGCTCACTGTTCTGTAGGGTTGGGGATTCCTCTGGACATCTTCCCTGGACAGAGGACGGGTGGGGCCACGGTAAGGATATAGTGGGTGACAGCTGGCCTCGTAGCTTGATAGCAGGGACACGGGCTGACTTGCTCAGTGAGACATGTTTAAATCTGTCCCTGACCTTTCCCCAGGCATTCTGCCTCCATCTTGTCTCTACCTCTGGTGTGAAGGATCTGGGCGAATTTAATGATGAATAATGACAAAACCCAAGACATGTCCTTATTAAGTAGGCTTTTTATCTTGAAAATGGGGAGTTCTGTGGGCAAGTAGACACTCCAGGCGACTTCCAAATAGAGACCTGGGTGGCCCTCCTCATTCTTTCCCACACTGAGACAATTTTGATAGAAACTGCAGTTTTATAAGGCTGGAGCAACTTGAAAAATAGTTCTCCTGGCTATAAAATTCACCCCACTGAAACCAGTCTCGTCTCTCGAGCCAAAGATCAAACTTTGCCAGATGTGGTTTCCCATTGTCATTTCCGCTTCCAGGTGGGAAAGCAATTGTTTGTAAGTTTTAATATACCAGAGCTAAGTCTCCATAGCCAAAAGGAGGTGTCGGTCAAAGCAATGAGCTGGACAATTCAGTCTGAAAACCTGGAGATTTACCGACCTGTGTCTGGACATAACTTCATTTATCCTGGTTTTAATTTTGTAGTTTATCAGTGTCCAGAAGTTTGGTTTGGTTCAGAACTTCTACTTAACTACTTGCTTTTTGAATCTGGCCTTGAGTGAGTGCTTCCTTGGATTCTTTTTTCTTTTTTTGGGTTTGTTCCCCACAGCTGGAATCAGGGAGTAGATAATGTGACATGAAGTGCTGGAGCCACCCACCGTGGGCTTCCAGGATAGCGCCCTGGCTGTGGGAGCACCGTGACCCTGGGAGGCTGACACGGACTCCATTCTCTTGACATGACACTGGCTGGAGAAGCTCCAGCTCTGAAATGTTCTATTTTTCCATGCTGGTGGTTCAGCCAGCACATGGGAAAATGGACTTGGGTGGGGCCGCCTGGCAGCAGATCCAAACTGAAGTGGGAATCGGTCCTTGAAGGCCAACTGTGAAAACGTACGTGGGCCCACAGCCCAGATGCCCAAAGGACACTGGGAAGCACGGAAATGGGATCTACAACACTCTTAGTGACACACGGAAAACACCCCTTATCCAACTTGGTGTTTCTTTTTTTTTGTGCGCTGAGGTTGGGCCATGGGAAGGGCCACCGGACATCTGCTCAGACCAATGAGAAATGGCTGAGACACAGCATGTGGATGAACCTATTTCAAAGATGCTGTAGATTTTTGTGCTTGATTGATAGATACATTTCTTAAAAAGAAAAGATAAGAAATTGTAGGCTTCTTATGAGGCAAAGTAGCTAGCTTTGAGTGGGCTCCTGGGATGTACCAATCACTGATTACTTACGTCTTCTAATTGCTCCGGTACTTCTGGAAGCTAGGCGTCCTCCGCCTGGGGGGTTGCAGGGGAAGGCTGGGGCTGAGAAGAGAGGGCCAGGAACCTCCACTGAAACATCCACTGCCCTGCTTCTCAACTTGGTCCCACACTGGAATCCCTTGGGGATATTATAGAAAGACTGATGCCTGGGCCGCATTCCAGGCAAATCAAATCAGAATGTCTGCACCCCCCCATCCCTACGTTTTAACACCCTCCCCAGGCATCCTGCCGTGCAGCCAAGGTTGAGAAACACCACACTAGTCGAATCTGACATATGAAGAAATTAAGTGTCCAGACCAGACTCTCACTTAGCCCTTCTTCTGCCACATTAAATAGCTTCTCTCTCTCTCTCGCTCGCTTTTTTTTTTTGTAATTTTGCCATAAATTAAAAGCACACTTCAAAATGTAGGTTTACCAAGTACCTTTAAGAAATGGATTTCCTGGGGCGCCTGGGTGGCTCAGTCGTTAAGCGTCTGCCTTCGGCTCAGGTCATGATCCCGGGGTCCTGGGATCGAGCCCCGCATCGAGCCCCGCATCGGGCTCCTTGCTCGGCGGGGAGCCTGCTTCTCCCTCTCCCACTCCCCCTGCTTGTGTTCCCTCTCTCGCTGTGTCTCTCTCTGTCAAATAAATAAAATCTTAAAAAAAAAAAAAAAGAAATGGATTTCCTTTTAAGGCAAACAGGGCTTTAATCACAACTGCGCTGATGTTTTCCACGCGAGCCTCGGGCCCGTGTGAGTTCATTGTGTCTGGGACCAGCTGTGTCGAATGTGGGCTCCTTCGGTGACTTCTCCATGGCTGGCCCGGCAGGCGGGCCCTCTGTTTCTCCTCCAGAAACCTCGCACACTCCTGTGATTCACCTTGTTGATGGAAGACACTCTCCGTGAACCTCTAGCTGGTGGTACATAGATCTACCAGAGACACATTTGTCACAGAACTCACTTCATCTGGGGACCACGTGTCTAGGAGAGCTACGGTTTTTTGGCAGAGGGCACATCCAGACGCTATGCGAGTATGACCCTATGGACGTCTGGTTACCAACCAGATGCCAGCCAGCCGTGTAAACTTACTGTTTTTTTGTGCAGCCCACCGTGCTGGCCACCTTGCAACTGAAATTCTTAGCTGGACTTACCAACAATACCACCTAAGCACCTTTAAACAAGATTTCAAGGTGTTCTGGTCTCTGAAAAAATTTGAATTTCTTCTTGTGTTAAAAGAATGGACAAATCGGGGCACCTGGGTGGCTCAGTCAGCTGAGCATCTGACTCTTGATTTCGGCTCAGGTCATAAGCTCAGGGTTGTGAGGTTGGGTCGCGTGTTGGGCTCTGCGCTCAGCATGGGGTCGGCTTGAGAGCCTCCCTCTCCCCCTCCCCATGCCTGTGTGCTCTCTCTCTTTCTCTAAATAAATAAATAAAATCTTAAAAAAAAAGAATGGCAAATCTATGATGTAATTTTTTAAATTTTTTTTTTTTTTAAAGATTTTTTTTATTATTCATGAGAGACAGAGCGGGAGGAAAAGGCAGAGGAGAAGCAGGCTCTGCATTGAGCAGGGAACCCGATGCGGAACTCGATCCCAGGACCCTGAGATCATGACCTGAGCCGAAGGCAGACGCTTAACCATCTGAGCCACCCAGGCGCCCTCTATGATGTAATTTTTAAGGCATTTAAAGCAATAGCCTTATTTAGACTAATGGTCTTTAACTCAGGCCACATTAGACTCACCTGGGGGATTTAAAAAAAGTCTTGTCACCTGGGCCCTACCTCAGAGATTCTGACACGATTGGTCTGGGGTTGAACGATGATAAGATGCCCCTATTGGTGTACCTGTCTCCCTTGAAAGACACTAACGTGAACACTTCCGAATCTCCTCACTGACTTTTGTGGGCAGCCAGGGTTGACCCTAAAACAGGGCTCCGAGCTCTGGGGATTTCACTGTGATCTTAGTGCTATAGTAATTTCATTCATTTTATTCATTCAACAAATTTATGTTGAAGAGAGAAAATATTTTTGAAATCCTTTCCTCGGTATCTTTTCCTCCAGTTGTCCATGCAGTTTTTTCTTCACCTTTGCAACCTCATTATGGCTGAAGCGGAGATTTCTCACCCCTGGGAAGGAGAAGCTGGATGCTGACAAGAAAGGTGGTTTGCAACCCTAGATGCCCTTTAGAACCACTTGGGAAGCTTTAAAAAAAATTGCCTGTGTCTGGGATCCACTCCAGACTAATTAATTCAGAATTGGGGGGATGGGCCCAGGGATTACTATAAAAGTACTCCAGGCATAATACTCTTCTGTTATGCAGCCAAGGTGGCGGATGATGGTTCTAGCAAGAAATGGATAGCTTACCAGCTTACAATGAGATTCTTATTTATTAAAATCTTGCATATCCTCATCCTAACTTTTGAGGTTGGGGGAAATTATCTAGGTGCTTGTCGTTGGAAAAGATGGAGGTTAGTTATATTATTCATATGATTTTATGATTTCATATATATTTATTGATTTTACATATGCAAGGAAACCATGGTTAGAAACACCTCCCAGGGACTTTTTGCTTGTTTACTTTGGGTCAGAAAGGAGACCAGGGTGGATATGTGGGTCCGGGTCCCAGCAGGAACGAGATGGCATGCCCACACTAGATGACTGTGTAGGATAATAAAGGTGCTCTTTATCATGGTCCAGGTAGGATTTAGGGAAACCGACCAGGAAAGGTGCAGTTTGTAGAACTGGCTAGTAACACGGGGAGGCATGAGCATCCCTGAGCTGGGGGCCAGGCAGACTAGCTGTGTGGGGAGGGTGCCTGTCGAAACCGTGAACTTGTTGAGAAGGATACAGCGTCACACAAGGACCCTTTCTGTAGAAGAAAATTCCAGTTGAGTTCTGGTCACACGCAGCCAAGAGTATTAAGTCATTCACAACTGCTCCTAGGAGGTGAGGAGGTGAATTGACAGAGTCTACATTCTGAAACTGGGTAAACGAAAGGGAAGCGGTGGGTAGGCCCTGATTCTGGCTTGGAAGGCCGGTATTCCAACAGTTTATAACCACTGCCTCGTCTCGTGGGACTCTGCCTCCGAGGTTCACCTGGGCTGGAGCTTCGAGCAACAGCGCACAAAATGCCAGCGCGTCGTTCATTCATTTATACATTTACTCGTTCTGTTGGAGTTGAGAGATACTTAACTGAATGGCTCCCAAGCGCTAGGTACTCTTCTAGGATATTGCACGTGGCTTCTTGCAACAGGGGCTAGAGCAACAATGGAGAAGCCGCCAAGGAGCCCGTGTTTGGTTCAGTTGGCCCCACACAGTGGACATTCACACCTGTCAGGGGATCCCATAGAAAAGCATGGGTGCGGTGCTGATCAGATCACAGCTTGCCTGAAAATAAAATCCATTTCTTTCTTTCTTTTTTTTTATTATGTTATGTTAATCACCATACATTACATCATTAGTTAAAATCCATTTTTTTTATTTTAGCATTTTTAATGAATTAACTATTTTTTTTTTTAAAGATTTTATTTATTTATTCATGAGAGATAGAGAGAGAGAGGCAGAGGCAGAGGGAGAAGCAGACTCCCCGTGGAGCAGGGAGCCCGATGCGGGACTCGATCCCAGGACCCTGGGATCATGACCTGAGCTGAAGGCAGACGCTTAACTGACTGAGCCACCCAGGCCTCCCTGAATTAACTATTTTAATTGAGTAGGTTAACACAATAAATGATATAAATGGACACTTTGGTTTTCACATATACGATATCGTGTTCTAGGTCAGAAATACAAAGTACCAAAATCCAATTAGCTAGTTTATTTTTTTTTAATTTTTTTTTATTCTTATGTTAATCCCCATACATTACATCATTAGTTTTAGATGAAGTGTTCCATGATTCATTGTTTGTGCATAACACCCAGTGCTCCATGCAGAATGTGCCTTCCTCAATACCCACCACCAGGCTAACCCATCCTCCCACCCCCCTCCCCTCTAGAACCCTCAGTTTGTTTTTCAGAGTCCATCGTCTCTCATGGTTTGTCTACCCCTCCGATTTCCCCTGCTTCATTCTTCCCCTCCCGCTACCTTCTTCTTCTTCTTTTTTTTTTCTTAACATATATTGCATTATTTGTTTCAGAGGTACAGATCTGAGATTCAACAGTCTTGCACAATTCACAGCACTTACCAGAGCACATACCCTCCCCAGTGTCTATCACCCAGTCACCCCATCCCTCCCACCCCACCCCCACTCCAGCAACCCTCAGTTTGTTTCCTGCAATTAAGAATTCCTCATATCAGTGAGATCATATGATACATGTCTTTCTCTGTTTGACTTATTTCACTCAACATAATACCCTCCAGTTCCATCCACGTCGTTGCAAATGGCAAGATCTCATTCCTTTTGATGGCTGCATAATATTCCATTGTATATATATACCACATCTTCTTTATGCATTCATCTGTCGATGGACATCTTGGCTCTTTCCACAGTTTGGCTATTGTGGACATTGCTGCTATAAACATTGAGGTGCACGTACCCTTTCGGATCCCTACTTTTGTATCTTTGGGGTAAATACCCAGTAGTGCAATTGCTGGATCATATGGTAGCTCTATTTTCAACTTTTTGAGGAACCTCCATACTGTTTTCCAGAGTGGCTGCACCAGCTTGCATTCCCACCAACAGTGTAGGAGGGTTCCCCTTTCTCCGCATCCCCGCTAAAATCCATTTCTTAAAGGTGCCTTGTAGGGCGCCTAGGTGGCTCAGTTGGTTAAGCGACTGCCTTCGGCTCAGGTCATGGTCCCGGAGTCCCGGGATCAAGTCCCACATCGGGCTCCCGGCTCAGCGGGGAGCCTGCTTCTCCCTCTGACCCTCTCCCCTCTCATGCTGTTTCTCTCTCTCTCTCAAATAAATAAATAAATAAAATCTTTAAAAAAAAAAAAGGTGCCTTGTAAACTTCTATTTTGCACTGTGCTTTTAATTCACGGTAAGACCACCGTAAAGAAAAGCAAGTTGGTGTGGAATAGCAGTGCTGGATAAGAAGTTGGCTTTGACGCTAACTAGCCACATGGCATTCCACTGTTGTTTTGGAATTTGCCCTTTTCATTTTCCTGGATGTAGGCATGTGACTTGGGCCCTGGGGGTGGGGTGGGGGCTGGGAAATGCCACTAGAGAAATTTAGGAGATGAAGGAGGCCTTTCCTTGTAGCTAGAGATTGTCTCCAGAATAAGGGAGCGATTTTTTTTTTTTAAAGATTTTATTTATTTATTCATGAGAGACAGAGAGAGAGAGAGAAGCAGGCTCCCAAGGAGCAGGGAGCCCGATGCGGGACTCGATCCCAGGACCCTGGGATCATGACCTGAGCCGAAGGCAGACACTTAACCATCTGAGCCACCCAGGCGCCCTAAGAGAGCGATTTTAATTCATTCACATTTTTTTTGGAGGACTATCGTGTGTGGACATAGGGCCGGGTGGCAGGGATCCCCAAATCATGACAGAACCCTTGCCCT